TGCTCGCTGAATGCCTGGCTGTACTCACACACTTCCTGCTCACTGAATGCGTGTTTATTAAAGGGTTACCCCGATGCAAATAAGCCCCCCTGCCTGCAGACCCCCAACAACTAATGCCCCAGAGCTTGTGAGGAAGAGGCCCTTGTCCCCATCGGCATGGATCCAAGAATATACACCATCAGATCTGGATATATTCCCAGATGACAGACAGAAACAACCAGGAAATGAGTGCGGAGAGGAAAGGATCCAGAGTGCGGAGGAGAGGAAAGGATCCAGAGTGCGGAGAAGGAGATGATCCAGAGTGCAGAGGAGCGGAAAGTATCCATAGTGCGGAGAAGGAGAGGATCCAGAGTGCCGAGGAGAGGAAAGGATCCAGAGTGCAGAGAAGGAGAGGATCCAGAGTGCGGAGGAGAGGATCCAGAGTGCAGAGGAGAGGAAAGGATCCAGAGTGCGGAGAAGTAGAGGATCCGGAGTGCGGAGAAGGAGAGGATCCAGAGTGCGGAGAGGAAATGATCCAGAGTGCGGAGAGGAAATGATCCAGAGTGCGGAGAGGAAATGATCCAGAGTGCGGAGAGGAAATGATCCAGAGTGCGGAGAGGAAATGATCCAGAGTGCGGAGGAGAGGAAAGGATCCAGAGTGCGGAAGAGAGGAAAGGATCCAGAGTGCGGAAGAGAGGAAAGGATCCAGAGTGCGGAAGAGAGGAAAGGATCCAGAGTGCGGAGGAGAGGAAAGGATCCAGAGTGCGGAGAAGGAAAGGATCCAGAGTGCGGAGAAGGAAAGGATCCAGAGTGTGGAGAAGGAAAGGATCCAGAGTGCGGAGAAGGAAAGGATCCAGATTGCTTAGGAGAGGATAGGATCCAGAGTGCGGAGAAGAAAGGATCCAGAGTGCGGAGAAGCAGAGGATCCAGAGTGCGGAGAAGGAGAGGATCCAGAGTGCGGAGAGGATCCAGAGTGCGGAGAAGGAGAGGATCCAGAGTGCTGCGGAGAGGAAAGGATCCAGAGTGCGGAGAAGGAGAGGATTCAGAGTGCGGAGGAGAGGAAAGGATCCAGAGTGCGGAGAAGGAAAGGATCCAAAGTGCGGAGAAGGAAAGGATCCAAAGTGCGGAGAAGGAAAGGATCCAGATTGCTTAGGAGAGGATAGGATCCAGAGGAGAGGAAAGGATCCAGAGTGCGGAGAAGGAGAGGAAAGGATCAAGAGTGCGGAGAAGGAGAGGAAAGGATCAAGAGTGCGGAGGAGAGGAAAGGATCCAGAGTGCGGAGGAGAGGAAAGGATCCAGAGTGCGGAGAAGGAGAGGATCCAGAGTGCGGAGGAGAGGATCCAGAGTGCGGAGAAGGAGAGGACCCAGAGTGCGGAGAAGGAGAGGACCCAGAGTGCGGAGAAGGAGAGGACCCAGAGTGCGGAGAAGGAGATGACCCAGAGTGCGGAGAAGGAGAGGATCCAGAGTTCGGAGAAGGAGAGGATCCAGAGTGCAGAGGAGAGGAAAGGATCCAGAGTGCGGAGGAGAGGAAACGATCCAGAGTGCGGAGGAGAGGATCCAGAGTGCGGAGAAGGAGAGGATCCAGAGTGCGGAGGAGAGGAAAGGAAAAGGAAAGGATTGTTTTACAAAGTTATTTTGCCGTCTTTGATCAGCCCAGACAGAAATTAACTTATTATTTCCCGATAATATTATATTTTATTATTCATAAATATTTTCCTAATTTGGATAGAAGAAGGTGGAGGCACCAATTAACTATCAATCATAATCTGGTTCCAATACCCGACAGGTTCTCCGATGTTTGGTAAAACAAGACTTCTGTGAGAAACATTTCCCGCACTCAGGGCAGGAATACGGCTTCTCCCCTGTGTGAGACCTCTGATGTATGACAAAGTCTGATTTCCATGTGTAACATTTCCCACACTCAAGGCAGGAAAATGGCTTTTCTCCCGTGTGGCAAATCTGATGTCTAGTAAGACTAAAGTTCCGTGAGAAACATTTTCCACATTCGTGGCAGGAATACGGCTTTTCCCCCGAGTGAGATCTTTGATGTCTAACAAGGTCTGATTTGTGTATATAACTTTTTCCGCACTTGGGACAGGAATACGGCCTCTCCCCTGTGTGAGATCTTTGATGTATAACAAGGTCTGATTTCTGCGTAAAACTTTTCCCACACTCGGAGCAGGCATGTGGCTTCTCACCCGTGTGCATCCTCAGATGTCTCTTCAGACAGCTTCTACTTGAAAAACATTTCCCACACTCAGGACAGGAATGAAGCTCCTCACCCGTGTGAGATCTCTTATGTACAGAAAGACTTTGATGCGTGGTTCTGTGGGTGTGGCTACAAATGGGGGTCAGCAGGGTGTCCACGGAATTAATTTTGACAATCTGGTCATCTTATCCTACATTGACACAGCCTTGTCAGAAGAGGCGGAGCCAATGGGGACTGGGAGGAGCATGCTCCTCACCAAACCACAAGCCTGGGCACTGGGCCATGCCTTCCCCGAGGAACAAAGTTCTGACCTGTAGAACCTTCAGCAGAGAAGAAGTGACCACAGGCCGAGGCTTCTGGAACTGGGAGAGAAACCCAACCCAATACTACCAGCTGAACCCCAGGATGATCCTTTGAGGGTTCCTCCATGGCGTGTCCTGGAAACATAGAGACACATGATGGAGAGATATGAGAGGGTTAGATGACTTCACTCAACATTCCATCTGGATCAGGAGGTCTGAGGGAGCGGATGTTCTATGAGGAGGTCCCAACCAGCCGGGGCTCCTCCCCCTCTTCAGTCAAAGGGCCTTTGGTCCTCCTACCGGATCACTTCTACATTGACACAGCCTTGGTAGAAAAGGCGGAGCCAATGGGGACTGGGAGGAGCATGCTCCTCACCCAACCACAAGCCTAGGCACTGGGTCATGTGATCTCTTATATACAAGAGGATCAGAGTATAGAGTGGCAGTCCCTCTCCCGGGTAACAGAAGAATATATTGTGGGTCACCTGTGCTGATCTCTGTAGGCGTGTCCTCCTCTATGGATGTCCTCATCATTCCGGCCTCCTCCTCCGTATATCGCTGATCATCCCTCACATACGTCTCTTCTACTTCACCCTCAACTTTCATCTTCATCAGATCTTCACCCTAAACCAACAGAATGGCAGAAAGTCTCATCTTGTAGAGTCCGCCCCCCATCTCCACATGTTCCCGCCCCTCAACTCCACCCACCTGATCATGGTGGGGGATGGCGAGACCTTCCTGGGTGGGGTCCCGGGAATACAGGGGGCGGGGACATCTCTCATGGTGGGGGATGGTGAGATGTTCCTGGGTGGAGTCCCGGGAATACAGAGGGCGGGGACATCTCTCATGGTGGGGGATGGCGAGACCTTCCTGGGTGGAGTCCCGGGAATACAGGGGGCGGGGACATCTCTCATGGTGGGGGATGGTGAGATGTTCCTGGGTGGAGTCCCGGGAATACAGGGGGCGGGGACATCTCTCATGGTGGGGGATGGTGAGATGTTCCTGGGTGGAGTCCCGGGAATACAGGGGGCGGGGACATCTCTCTGGTGGGTTCCTCTTACTGGATCCATCTGTAGGAAACACACACACTGACTGAATACATTGTTTCTATGTGTGTATCAGATGATGGGGGATGTAGGCGGAGCCTCCGTACTGCTCTCTCCTCTTACCCGGTGATGTGAGGGGCGGGGCATTCTCCATCACCACGTCCTTGTAGAGATCCCGGTGTCCTTCTAGATACTCCCACTCCTCCATGGAGAGATAGACAGAGACATCCTGACACCTTATAGGAACCTGACACACACAATGATACCGTCACCACCCAGACACGCCCCTTGTCTGTTCCTGGATCATGTCCCAGAATCCCCGGCACCGCTCACCTCTCCCGTCACCACCCAGACACGCCCCTTGTCTGTTCCTGGATCATGTCCCAGAATCCCCGGCACCGCTCACCTCTCCCGTCACCACCCAGACACACCCCTTGTCTGTTCTCTGATCATGTCCCAGAATCCCCGGCACCGCTCACCTCTCCCGTCACCACCCAGACACGCCCCTTGTCTGTTCCTGGATCATGTCCCAGAATTCCCGGCACTGCTCACCTCTCCCGTCACCACCCAGACACACCCCTTGTCTGTTCCTGGATCATGTCCCAGAATTCCCGGCACCGCTCACCTCTCCCGTCACCACCCAGACACGCCCCTTGTCTGTTCCTGGATCATGTCCCAGAATTCCCGGCACCGCTCACCTCTCCCGTCAGCAGCTCCATCATCTTCTTGGTGACTTCTAGAACCTTCTCCATGTTGGGTCTCTTGGTTTTTAGGGAGTCACATGGAGGCACTGTGATGGTCACATGATCACCAGACTTCAGAAGAGGAAAACTCTGGATGGAGAAACCAATAGGAACATCAGGTTAGAATCCCAGAATCCTCCTCACCTCTCCGGTCATGTCACCTCCCAGAATCCTCCTCACCTCTCCGGTCATGTGACCTCCCAGAATCCTCACCTGTCCCATCAGGTTATGTGACCTCCCAGAATTCACCGGTCAGTTCATGTGACCTACCAGAATCCTCACCTCCCCGGTCAGCAGGTAGATGATCTCCAGGGTGAGGTTTAGTATCCTCTCAGTCACGTGACTCTGGTCCTACTCCATCCTCATTGAGGTGGTCATGTGATCTCTGTGGACGAAGAGTGGAGAATTATCTAGGCTGTATAATATTAGGATGGGGAATATAAGGGGGTAATAGGTGGGACACCCCGAGTGAGAATTGCCCCATGTATATTGGGTTCCTCAGGGTCTGTTGGGTCTCAGCCACGTTCCAGGCAGAGAAGTTCCACTTCCTGTGAAATGGGCTTCGGAGAGGAAGAGGCCGTCCTGGTGCCGGTCAGTGTGGTCACCGCTGTCTCAGACTCTATACTCTGATCTCCATTGCTGGAAAACAACCTTCCCAACCCCACCAATGTGGACCTCTTCTACCTGATGTCCTACTGCTGGCCATCTTCTGCCCAACCACCCCGTGGTGTCTTTGGCCAGTTTGTACCAGCTATCCCGGACTTAGTTGGAATTGGTTGGGAGCAGACCCCTCCCTACGGCTTTTATATCTCTTGTGGCCGCCACTTCCGCCAACCAAACTCATCTTAGTACCGCGTGATGAAAAGTCACATGGAGCTGCTAAAACTACCCCGAAAACCTGAAATGAATCAGATTGGGATGAGGCCGCTGTACGTCCGCCAATCCACGTCTACTTGTGACTCACCTTCTACTTCGTATGGGTCCACTGGTCACGAGAGCACCCACCAAGGAGATCACGAGGGACATTTCGGTCAGGTGTGTGATGGGACATTCTGACGTATCAGGATTTATGGGGAGGCACCAAAACTCATGATCCAATCTTTTAATCCCGGCAATTGGGGTCAAATTGTTGTACAATCCAAGTCTTATCTCTAGTTATAAGGAGTTGGCTTGGTGTGCACCAAATTCGGCCAGGCCACCCAAAATTGTCCCAGCCCGACCAGTTCGGTAATGGCCGGGGCATTTCCTGCCCTGCAGCTAGACTTAAAGGGGCGGAGCATGCCTCAACATATTGGTCATTGACAGTTCTGCGGAGGTTGGGAGAACTTGGTTCAGCCCAAGACCACGCACATCCCTAGTGACAGGAGACCTCTAAGGTGAAAGGGTGACACATCTCCAATATGAGGAACATGTTCTTGACCGTAAAGGGGTAAATATACATTTCCACATGATATATGTGTGTAGCAGCATCTGCCGGAGATAAATGAGGTCACATTGACTATGGAGGACGAGGATGGACATGACGGGGAGGTTACTGGGTGTAAATATAGACTAGTGTCTTATTACCTCCTCTGTTGCCAGTTCCAGCAATGTCTCCTCTCTACTTCCTCCCAACTCACCTCTCACCCGGAACTTCCTGTTTATATGTGACATCACTTCCTGTCCATGTTCCATAGAAACTTCCTGTCTGTGGTATCATAGAGATGTCTTATCTGGGTATAGGTGAGATCACCACATTGTGGAGCTCAGAGGAACTGCAGCCCAGAGAAACATCTCGTAGTGTGATCACGGCCTTGTGCTGTGTGTGTCTGTTCTGTACATCCTTATAGACGGGTCATCTCCACCCCACCGAGAGGGGTGGAAATATATCACCGATAGGGATGAGGGGAGGGATTTTGACTCCTTTTATTTTGTATGAAAACTGATGTTTAGTTATAATTATCCTCTAATTTGTCTCTATGTGGAGCTACTTAGCAGAAATCTGCTTAAAAAGTCCCATCTACCGTGATAAGAACCTTCCCTTAGGGTTAGGTGATGGCCCCATTCATCTATAGAAGACTCAGGTGGAGGTGGTGGGATGGGTGGTGGGGGTCACCCCCTCATTGTCCTCATCAGATCTTCAGAGCAGCCCCACAACCCAGTACAGATGGGATGGGGAATCACACTCCTCTTTCAGCACATCCCGCATCTGATATATGGAGGCGAAGAACCCCAGCAGAGGTGAAAGGGTGGAAATGGCTCCTGGTTCCCAGGATTTGGTGATGGAGGAATGTCCACATAAAAGAAGGAGGATCTCAGGGTGGAGGGCAAATATGTGCTGGTGGAACCTCAAAGGCCTGAAGGGCAATTTGCTGATGGCTGCCCACATTGACCTGACATCTGCTTCTGGGGACAGTGAGGATGGAGAAGAAGTCCTGCAACTCTAGTGTCTGATCAGCTCGGATGGAAGGGCTTCAGATGTGATGTAAGAAGAAAGACAGCCGCAGAGAGGGTTGAAGACCACCGAAGAACGTTAATAAAGGGGTCCATCAGCAAGGCCAAGCAGCTGTGCTGGGTAGCAGGAAGCATAGGAGGTTTCACTCTTGCCCACCAAAGGAGCCAGGGTTGTTCCATGCACCTCCACCTATGAGGCCCTTTTTCTCCTGGCAGACGGTGGATTCATCTGTGTCATTCTTCAACCTCTTCCAGCAGAGGATACACAGGGAAGTCTGGATCTAACCTGGAAGCCAACAGCCTCTAGGAGAGGCCAATAGGTCACCAGCCCTCATCTGGTGAACCATGAGCAGTATACGGAGCAGAACAAGCTTTGAGCTCCTTTCTTGAAGCCTCTCAGAACCTTCAGCTCCTGTCTGGTGGTCCTCAATACAGATCTTACTGGGAGTGTCACCTGATTCTATAAACACTCTGTTAGTAGATTTAGTTATTGCTTGAAGCTCCTTAACAGTGACTCTGCTGAGATAGAGGCAAGTTGTCTGGATACATTCAGCAGTACTAGACTGGAGCTGAAGGGCTTGGGACATGAACCATCATATGAGAGAAGGTCACATATCCCCCATACCTGGATATTCTTGTTGGCTGGGGAGTAGAATGGAGCCGGGGCAGGGGGAGGCAAGGTGAGTAGAAGGGGGCCTGGGGATGCCCTTTGTAGAGATAATGCCACTAGTGATGAGCGCAGTGTGTGGGCCACTGGATGAACTCCCCAATTGGTAAACATCTAGAACAGAGATCAGGACGAGCTCACCGTTGACCCAAACGCTGAAAGAGAAGGGGCGATTCCCCCGTTCCATCTGTACTGGGGTACGGGGCTCTGATCTGACTGGCTGCTGCTCTGCTACAGCAGAAGATGCCTGCTGGGTACATCTGAGGGAGTGACCCACGTTACCCATCCCACCACAGCCTTGGCCATGACTGGGGGCATCACAGAGCATGGAAGGTCACATGGAAGGTTTCCTCTGAGGTAGATATTTTCCTCTTGCTATGCTTTTATTGTTAGATGTACGGGAGGCATTGGACGCCCTTTCATGACAATATCTGCTCTTTGATCTCCGGAAATGGGGAATTTAGGACAACTTTCTCTGCTGGATCTCGATCTTATATTCTTGTCCAAAGACAAATGTTAATTCCAGTGGCTCTTTCTGACACTTAATAAATGTGACGGGGGACTAGACAAGGGTTCCCCCCCCC